GGAATAATTACATAGGAGTTTGGGAGAAGGTGGGGGAGGGGAGGTGTTTGAGAGGAAGAGTTCTGAGCTGTGCTAAAACATGTCACCCTGGTTTGTGACACTTTACTCAAGGCCCTGCATTAGATTGACATTGATAAGAAGTTACAGAGGTTGAGAAGTGACTGAGATGCTAGAAGGAAAAGGTGGGGAGAAAGGAGTTTCTCATTGATGGGGAAAGCTGGATGTCTGAGGGAGGTTGGGGTTGTGTACCTCTCTGATTAACATCTTCCTTAATGAGGGGGATGTGTGGAGCAAAGCCAACCCAGCAATAAAAATGAGGGGGTGTTGCAATCACAGGAAAGAATGAGGACAGAATTCCAAGGGACCCACACAGTGGTGGCCATGTCCCAGCATCCAGTCATTTGGAGCTCCCTACTGATTTCAGTGGGGAATTTTTCTGAGGGCTCCAGTGGCTCATGGACCCACGAAAGGTGAGAAAAGCAGGAATCATGTGGGTTAAGCTTTCAGAAAACCCTAAAAAAAGTGAGGACACCAAGTTCAACTTGCTGTGGCAGCTGGACAGCCTCTCCTCTCTCCTCCCCCTTCCAAAAAGCAGGAGGATGTTTTAGGACAGCAGATCATGAGGATCACAAAACCAGTGAGGTGGGTCTGTCCTCTGAATAGCTCTCTCAGACTTCCAAAGATGACTTGCATCCCTAGACACCTCAAGGGTTAGGATAAGGCTGTAAATAATTGAAGAGAGTAAATACTGGAAGTGGTGAGGCTGCTGGAAAGGGACATAACAGGGAGTAATGGGATGAAAGTGAGTAAAATAAAACACAAGATTTTTATTTTTGTCCACGAGTTGGATTTGTTCAGCTGTGAAATAGACTCCCAAGGGAAGGAGACTATTGCTTTAGTCATTTAAATCTGGAGGGGACAAAGCACTGGCTGATCTCTTCCATGGAACAGTTGTCTTGCCTTGGCAGAGGAATGCCCAGATAGCAACAGATGCAAGTTTTTTCCATCTCAGATGTCAGAGATTTTGGTGGAGCACTTTTTTTTTTCCCCATTGGCTTTGGGTGGGGTGGAAAGAAGAGGAGACCTTTCTTCCTAAGTGAAAAAAAAACCCCAGTTCCTAACAGCAGCAGGAGGCCAAACAGAAATGTTGACACTGAGGTCTCCTGTGGCTGGAAACAAAATGGGTTCGTTTGTCTGTGGCAGATTGAATGTGAAATGTAAAGAGAAGGAGGGTTTGTCTGTGGGCACATGTGACACAAATCATCTGTGCTTACTGAGCAGAGGTTGCTTTCTTGGTGGTAGGTGAAAGGAGTGGCAGGTTGGTCCATGCTGGTGGGACAAGAAGTCATCTGCTCTGTTTTCAAGAGAGATCAGTGTTGGCTCCTACCTCAGTGCCTTTTACACTGGTTTTCTCTTCAAAACACAGCTACTCACTCTGTTGTTGCTCTTGTTTCTATGTATTGACCAAACCATCCCTTTCATGAAATGTAAAACAAGAGCAGTGAATCCACATAACCCCTTAGAAATGTGTGAGGTCTTGATTTTGATCATGCCATGACCCTTTCCAAAACCACCACCTGGAGCTTAGTGACAGCTCTGGGCACCAGTTTGTCCCATGCAACGTCCTGGCTTGGGATCCAGAAGTGTGCAACCAAATAAATGGCTCTACAAGGTCCCAGGCTGAGCTGATGTTGGTTGGGCCAGTACAGATCCATCCATCCATACTGCAGCACCCAGTAACTCCAGTTCTTGGTTGCCAGATCCAGGTTTTAATCTCTGCATCTTTTTGATGCACAATGTTTCTGTCCATGTTGGAGAAGCCATTTCTTCTTGAGGGACAGTGACAGAAAAAGATCTGTCTGGCTTTTCCACCTCTTCACCTCCTTGCATTGTAGGGCACAGCAAACATGCATTATTTCTGGGTGTCTTGTAACCTGATGAGCAAGAGGTGGTGGGTGCTACAGTGAGCCCAGAGGAGGGCATCCAGGCTGGGGAAGGGTCTGGAGAACAAGCCATATGAGGAGCATCTGAGGGAACTGGGTTTGTAGAGAAAAGGAGGCTGAGGGGAGACCTTTTGGTTCTCTGCAGCTGCCTGAAAGGAGGTTGGAGCCAGGTGGGATCAGTCTCTCCTCCCTGGTAACAAGCAACAGGACAAGAGGAACTGGCCCCAAGTTGCACCAGAGGAGGTTTAGATTGGGTGTTAGAATAAACTTCTTCACTGAAATGGTTATTAAACACTGGAACAGGTTGCCCAGGGAGATGCTCTAACTCGTCACCATGTAAGGACCTCCTAGAAGAGCCTTCCAGGTGCTCACCAGAGGAGGAAATCAGTGATAGGCTCCAGAAGGAAACACCAGCACCCCTAACTCCCACTTGCCTTTTCCAAGAGATTGAAAAACATCTCCCAGATCCTTGCTGTCTCCTGAGCCACCCAGGAGTGAGAGAGGACTTTCCCCTCTCTAGTCACCAGTGAAGTTGCAAACATTGACAAGGACTATGCTGAGGGTTGTTCTTCAGCAAACCCAACACACCAAATAGACTCCTAATAGACACCTAATAGACTCCTAATAGACACCTAATTGACTCCTCCAAGTACCCTGTCCTGCAGTTGCCAGTGAGGAATTCAAATTAGTTCCACTGCCAAAAATATGACACAGGGAAAATCTTCATAATTGGAATGTGCTGTGATCTTTGACTTGGTTTCACACATCCATGCAATGCAAGCTGAGATCTGTGTTATTAGATGTTTTGCATAACTGGAGGGAAGATCCTGGCCCCTTCATTTCCTTCCATTGCTTCAGACCTGGTCCCCAAACTGGGCCAGCTGGTGTGCAGTGAGCTGGTGGCTTCCACCCAGGTCTTCCTGGGCAGGTGTCCACGTTGCAGTCACAGCACAGATCAGCAGTGGCTGGAGAGTTCAATTGAGATTGCAGAGAACCAATGAGCCTTGAGAAACTGCCTTCACTCTCTCCTAGTACAGAATGACCTCCTCTGGTCGTGTAAATGGTTGCAAGTTGAATGATTTGAAGGGTGGGGAGAATATGGCCCTTTTTCCCTTGAAGGACAGTGCATCAAGTTGTGAGGTGGAGACCATTTGATATCCTGCCCAGCCCACGTTGCTGTGCCCTCCATGCCAACTTTTTGGGTCATTCCCTTTTTTGGAGCCCTTCCTTAATGCCCATTTGTGTGTGATTGGAATGAATGTGGGCAAAATGGTGTGAAAAAAACCACCATTTGCTTTGAATAATGTTGTGGTTGCTGCTCTCCCCCCAGGAGCATCGTGCAGTCGGATGAAAAGCTGGTGATCAGTGCATCCTGGGCTAAAGATGATGATATTAGCAGGCTCCTGAAGTCTCTGCCCAACTGGAGCAACATGGCTCAGCCCAAGCAACTTAGACCCAAGAGGGAGGAGGAGGAAGATTTCATAAGGTAAAATATTTTACAAAGTCACGCAAGGGTTTCAAGGAGAGTAGCAACGATGGTAAAACCTGCTGGAAAGAGAAGAATCCTGGTGTTTGTGTAGCTGTTGTGTCCCCAGGTGTGAGAAGAAGTTGAGATGTGGTCTTTCCTCATGTGGAGCCATGAGACTTGAGTCCACTTGCCATTAAGTGGTGTGATTTGCAAGGTCCTGCACCTGGGTCGGTGCAACCCCAGGCACAAATCCAGGCTGGGGGGAGAAGGGCTGGAGAGCAGCCCTGAGGAGAAGGACCTGGGGGTGGGAGGAGGAGAGAAGATGGACATGAGCCACCAGTGTGTGCTGGAGCCCAGAGGGGCAGTTGTGTCCTGGGCTGCACCAAGAGAAGTGTGGCCAGCAGGGCCAGGGAGGGGGATTCTGCCCCTCTGCTCTGCTGAGACCCTGCCAGGAATTCTGTGTCCACCTCTGGAGCCTCCAACACAGGAAGGACATGGAGCTGTTGGAGAGAGGCCAGAGGAGGCCCCGAAGATGCTGGGAGGGCTGGAGCAGCTCTGCTCTGGAGCCAGACTGGGAGAGTTGGGGTGTTTAGCCTGGAGAAGAGAAGGCTCCAGGGAGATCTTAGAGCAGCTTCCAGTGCCTGAAGGGGCTCCAGGAAAGCTGGGGAGGGGCTTTTCATCAGAGAGGGCAGTGATAAGACAAGGGGTGATGGTTTTAAACTGAGAGAGGGGAGATTTAAGTTAAATATCAGGAAGAAATTCTTCATTGTAAGGGTGGTGAGGAGCTGGGATGGGTTGCCCAGGGAGGTTGTTGATGCCCCATCCCTGGAGGTTTTTAAGGCCAGGTTGGATGAGGTTTTGTGCTCATGGCAGGGGGGTTGGAACTTGATGATTTTTAAGGTCCTTTCCAACCTTAACGATTCTATAATTCTATGATTTTAAAGCCAGGCACTGGCTTTGCTGGACTGTGAGTGTCCTGTGTGTTGCCTGGATTTAGTTCTGTTGATAGAATTGAGAAATCATGAAGGAAGTGACCTACTTGAGGGATGTTTCTGGGCTTTGCTTATCAGTGGTGTGATGTATTGGTGGATAAACCATCCTGAAGCTCTTTATCCTTCAGGAGAAAGGAGAAAGCAGAGCTGCTTCTCACGTGGAACAAGGACAGCAGAGATGGAGATCATAGTTTATTAAGGGGCTTCAGTGGCAGGGCTGCCTTGCTCCTTTCCTGCCCTTATTGCTCATTTCTGCTGCTGTTGTTCAGATGTGGCTGTCTGAAGAGTCATCACAGAATCTCAGAATCCCAGGGGTTGGAAGGGACCTGGAAAGACCATCCAGTCCAACCCCCCTGTCAGGGCAGGGTCACCCAGAGCACATCACACAGGACCCAGGGGGGTTTGAATGTCTCCAGAGAAGGAGACTCCACAGCCTCTCTGGGCAGCCTGGCCCAGGGCTCTGTCACCCT